TGTGTCAGCAGTGGACTGTGGGGAAGGGAGGGGGGGGGGGATAGCGCCTTTATCCGCAGCTCGAGGACATTTCCGAAAAGGTGGATTTATACCTCGACAGGATTCTCCCGCAGACCCCTCTAGCATTAATGTTACCGGATGTTACCAGCTGTAACTGGCCTAATGTGGGCCATTCGTGTCATAAGATTTTTTAGGTGAATTTAGCCTCACTATAGAAAGAAAGATTAGGCAACAGATGAAAGCATTAATGAATGACACACTATCGAGATACAATATATTTCATTTGTTTAGTATATTTGGCATAATTCCAGGCAGTAAGCATATGATTGTGTGCCCTGTGATGGACCATCACCCCCCCGGGGTGTCCTCTGTGTTCCAGGCTTGTCATGGAGGGTGTAAGGTCAGGTCAGATAAGTAGATGCTTTGTAGTATAGGTGACACTTTTCATTAACTTCACCTTCATAATGACTTTATAATGCATTTGTAGGACATTCATATGAAGCATGTAAATATACTTTAACATCCTAATATATATACCAACTGTATTATACATTAATGACAAACATTATACGATAGTAACAAACACTATAATCGTGTAATGATAAGGTTTGTTAATAATGTATTTTTAAGCTGTTAAGGTACAGTATGTTAGGATGTTAAGGTATACTTGCATGCTGCTTATGAATGTTCTATGAATGCATTATGAAGGTACACTGAATGTTCTATGAATGCATAATGCAGTTTATGTAAAGCGTTACCGTAGTATATGAGAGTTGAGATCCAGGCTTGATTGTGATCCATGGTCTTTTTTACAGCAGATAGACGGCAAAGCCTTTCTGCTACTTACGCAGCGTGACATCGTGAAGATCATGAGCGTGAAGCTGGGCCCGGCTCTCAAGATCTACAATTCCATCCTGATGTTCAAGCACGCGGAGGAGGCTCAGTCCGGGGGTCACGACGCCAGCACGTGAAACCGAACCTGATCCAGTCTGCAGTGCCACAGGGATTGGACCCAACAACTACCTGAGGCTTCCTTCAGAAGACTCCCATTTCTTATATAGAGCCCCGTTCCTATTCTGCTACCCTTTTTATACCCACACAGGACTTCAGAAGTGACAATCACTAAACACAAGGTGTCAGTTTGCAGTGGTCAGACTCACTGCCCAGTCATCAAGGTGCTATCTGTATTCGAGACCCAACAGGTAAAACTGTACTGCTGTTAATTTAATTGTACAAGACTGTCTACTGAAGTTGAACTTTGAGATGCCAGAGTTTGTTGTGCTGTCTAGTTTCATTGCATTCTATTTTGTATAAATGTTATAATATATAATTTAATTGTACTTATGGAGTCAGACCTATTTATTGTGAAATAACATTGAGTTTGGGAGGTAAATTAATATATGATTCAAGATTATATGCCAAATGGTTTATGTTTTAAATTGTGGCAATTTTATAATATACACCATAAGAAATTATTTTTTAAAAGTTAATGTCATTTGGATAGATGAAATTGTACTTGGTCCATTTTGAGGAAAATTCAATTGAATCGCTTTTGAAATATGACAGTTCTTTTCATATTTAACATTAGCCTTTTTATTTAATTGTACTTCATTTCTAAGTCTAGAACAGGCTAATAATCATAAAAAAAAACTTACAGATACAGAAATAAGTCTCTTTGAATATGTAAGACAACCATTAAGGACACAATTTGTATCATTTGTTTGAGAGAGAGGGGATCTTGCATGGCCTTTGCTAGTGCGTAGGCTCTTGTTCTGGGTGAAATCCTGGCATTCTCCAATGCTGGGCCTCATGACTCTGCGCGCTTGCTGACCTCTGTCCCAGCTTAATGATCCAGCTGTTGACTGCAACGTGGAAACGCACGGATAACCTGCTTCATTTGAGAAATCATGGTCATTTCGAATCTTGTGCAGCTGAATTCATGTAACTCAAATGATCTAAAAGCTTTGTGTTTTAATTGTTGCTCCATAAAATTAATTATTTGTACTCCATTAACTGAAGAGAGTGCTTGCATTTGTGCTAATAAAATGCCCCATGTTCCCTTTAGTCTGCCATTAACAGAATTAATTTGGGTTAAATTTAGTTTGAATTAATGAAGCCTTTAGTTACTTATTTCTTGACTATAAAAGAACGTACAACTGAAAATCATCATGTAATGAGCCCTATATAATCATTTGGACTAATTAATTTAAATAGCTTGATTGAGGCTAATAAATTGAAAGATCAGCTACAATTAAGCCCAACAGTGGACCGCCAAAACCAGATCTGGATTGTGCAGCCTTGCAGTACATAAGGTTGCAATCTGAGCTACAATTATGAGTGCTGAATGTTAGTTTTTATGTTAATGACAGCTGAATCTCAGAGCTGTCCTTCAGGAATGTATACGTTAAACATCACAGGTTGTTATTTTTTTGTAGGGTTGCATTTAACCTCTTCTTTAAAGATAAGATAATCCACCTTTTCCTCCCAAATTTGCTTACCTGTCTAGTACCACAGATGATGGTGTAAATGCTTCTTCATTTGGGTTTATAGGTTATATCTGAGCACATCATGGGATCCCTTTAAAAGCCAGAAGGACTGTACATATTTGTGATGCTTTCCTTTGCAGCCAGTGAATTTCCCTTTGTCCTGTTCCTTCATTGGAATCTTGATCTTAACTAAATAAACCAGAGGAGTGTGTCCTCCTGTTTCTTTCGTGGTGGTATTCCTGTCCTGTGTGACTTTCTGTTCAAGAGTATTTAAGCATATGATGTGAGTGGGATTGGAACCAGTCTTCTCTCGCCGAATGGATTTCAGATTGCACATATAAAGCCGTATTTAAGATATGAAGCACTTTGGAGTGTTGACCACCTTAAAAAAGGATACTCCCACATTGAAAAGGTTAGTCCCACCTTAAAAAGGATGTGCCCACATTGAAATGGTTATTCTTACCTTAAAAAGGTTATTCCCATATTTAAAAAGATACTCCCACATCGAGAAGGTTAACACCCCACCACCGCCCGTCACCCCCCCCCCCCCCCCCCGCTGGAAATTTTGGTCTAATTTTTCAAGATATGAGAAGATGCCCTTCCAAAAGAATTAAAATCATAATCTGTTGCCATTAATGGATGGATCGTCTTGTGGATGGATTGCTTTGATCCTGCACTGCTTCTCAGGATTTCACCTGCGGGAAATGTTCTAGTGTTTGTAGATGTGTACACAGTTGCAGGATCCCTGCCGATGCAGTGTGTGTAGCTGGCTGGGCAGATTAATAAGTGTCTCTTCTGTTCTAACACTCTTGAGATTGAGCTGTAATGCTTTCCAAAGGTTCTGATGTACAATGAATGAAATACAAATTCTTTGACGTTTGCTCTCTAATCTCTCTATATATTTCTATAACTGATATTTTCTTGGTGCAAATCAAGGGTTGTTGTGGGGAAACTACTAACAGTTGGCTATTTTGATCTTTTTTTTCTCCAGAATTTGGAATTTGGGAACTTGGATTCAGGTTCGGAATCCCACACGGTTAAATTGCTGGTATAAAATGCATATAATTCCGTGATTTAAATTTTCTGTTCTTTGTTCTTTTCTGCCCTTTTCTGTTTTGTTCTTTTTCTGTGCTCTTTTGCTAAGGTTAGTCTTGAATTGTTGCACACTTTCTGTTAATTGTGTTCTTTCCACGTCTGTTAGCAAGTTGTCTACCACTCTAGCGAGACAGTATCAGACAAGTGAGATGTAATGTCTTTTGTCTTTGTGCCGTTTTCGTCATGTTATTTCGTGCCAGTTCGCTTGGCAGCTAGTGAACAACCGATAGACTCCATTACAGCCGGGATGGAGCAACTTGGTCTATCCTTAAAGCGGTCCCTAAAAATGCAAATGACATACATGTTGCAATCATTTAAATGATCATATTAAAAGTTACTTCTGGAAATTGTCTTCATGGGCCCCTTAGCTTCCATGGGGGCCCTGGCGGCTGCCTACCCCTGCCTTATGGTATGTCCGCCCTCGAGCGGACAGCACACGGTACGAAGATCCCGTAGATTCATGTTACTGTCCCCTGGAGGGAATGTAACGCTGGGTCGCAGTCAGGACTCTCTTCCTGGTATACTAAACGAAGCCTTTAAGCCTTTGTAAACAGGATCCCGTTTACAAACACACAGCTCTTCTACCATCATGACCTGGTTCCAAAAGTTCTATTGCCTTCAAGCAGGCGACGCAGAAGTACTCCAGAAACGATATCGGAGCGAACGTGCTTGTTCTTTTTGTCTAAGGTTTATTAGCACAACTAGATTCTTTGTCTATCCAGAATTCTATTGTGTTTCCTTTCTTGTGGCAATGATACCAGTGTTGCAGGAATGAAAATATTGCCCTGTTACACTACTTAAGTAAACCTACATAAAAGCATTCTCATTCAGCTGCAACATCTGGATAATGTGACGGCTCACCTGCTATAAATTCTCCCGACGTTATTCCCGACATAAACAGATGTCCCCCAGCAGAATACTGTCAAGTGCCGTTCAGCGGGGACCCTTATTGCAGATTAAGCTCTAGGAGATGTCTGCATTCCCTGTAGTTGCTGGTAAGACCATTTCTGTGCGTCTCAGGGTGTTTCGCTGGAGTTAAATATTTAACAAACTGCCTTGAAGAGTGTTCGGCAATTTATCAGAATTATACCGACAAAAATTTTAACATGCTGTGCAAGTTTTCTCAGTTGCGCTTTTGATTAAAGTTTTAATTGTTTACCTAATACCATTATTGTAGACTATAGTATCTTAGCCATCGAATCGCCGTATTTACTGACGCTGGAGTTTTGGAGAGATTTGGTGGGTGGCTTGTGCTGCACAGTTGGGTATCTTTTCCTGGTCTGTTTGAATTGTTCATGCTGTCTAGCTCCATTGTTGATGGCTGAAATGTTCCCTGGAGTTTTAACACCTGCACCGTGCCAATTTCAAACAATATTTCCCTTGCTTTAGGCTATAATGAACATGTAAGCTTAAACGTGGGTCGGCAGCGGGAGTATTGTTAAAGAGGCAATTATTCACATCCTTCGGCAATTTCGCCATGCCACTGCTGTGGTATCATAGCAACAACAGCCGAGATGTAGGGTAACATCAGCAATACCCCCATCACCCCCGGCTGGCAGCAGCATAACGGCTCGGCGCGCTGACCTGTGACAGACGCTCCGGGAGGAGAGAGCGGGCGGGCGCGCGAATGCATGCGGAGACGCTCCAGCGCGGAGATGCTGCACCTTCACCGGAAACTATGAAGAAAATGTTTCAACACCAAAAGGACTAATATGGACTAAAGTGCTGTTTTTTCCCATCGTGGACTGACTTGCCTCTGCTGGAACAGCGGAAGTTTATCTTTTATATTTTCGTCAAACCCAGGAATGACTGTTTTCTCTTCAGCGATAGTTTCTGTTTTATACCGTGGTAAGTCCTTGTTTATTATATTCGTTACTGTATATCATTTGAATGGGCTGTGGTATCATAAGATGCATGCATTATTATGTTTTATTATTTAAAACTATTAGTGGCTTGCAGAATCTCTGCAATTACTGATATGATACTTAGGCATTTTTGAGTAAATATTACCTCTTTAGATAAACACTTCGTCGGAAAAATGAGCTTTTTCAACATGCCTACAATTATAAGAAATATTTCACATAGAGGTACAGTGTGAATCTTTGGGGATTACATTGACCCCCAACCATCATATTTGCCGCTTGTCATATTTTATAATGTCCATTACAATTTTCTTGCTGTAAATATGAATTTAGCACTTACTCCCGCTGTAATCATTTAACCTCGGTCTACTGTAGCACTTACTGAACCCCGAATACTCGCCCAAGCGGAAAAGAGGGCCATTATAACTGCGCATGAATTGTGTACGCTGATAAATTCATTACAATATGTCACATCACATTTTCACTGCTATGTCACTATCCCTATAGTAACCCTAGTAACGAGAATTCTTTTAATGTTCCTCTGTAAGGTACAATGAATAATTTCCAGCAATTAACATAATTATGATCATCTCAATCTTAACTGGTATCCGTAATAGTTTAACTACTAATTTAATACAATCGCCATCGTGATCCTATAATTTTTGGGTTTCAATAGCATGTTTTGCATGTTCCAGATGTTCCAGGTGAGACGGTTGAGACAGGTTGCTTACTGTTTAACTGCATTATTGTTTAACTGTATTATAAAATGATTATGCGCATTATTAATGCTAAACTATAGTCTACGTACGCTGAACTAGCTTTCTGTTACAAGGTGGTTTATATAGTTATGTGTTAAGAATTCGCCAACTTAAACACCTGACCAGCTGATTCAGAAATGGAGACGTGGAACAAGTTCTTGGCCGGGAACATTTTGGTACTTCTGTAACGTGATCTGTGGGTACGGTTGTGCTCGTTAAAAGTCTAACACCGAGGATTTTGGCTTTTTAGTGAAAGGTGGCTACACCACGAAAGACCGGGAAAGAGCCATATTTTTTATTTTTCCTTCTTTAATTGGTAAATGAAATCACGAAAATGACATAAAATATAAACAAGTGTCAACCACGTGTGTTTTCAATGTATAACTAAATCAAACACTGTTATAACTTCTTTAAAATTGTCTATTAATAATTTACAAAGTGTTACAACCTAATTAATAACCAGATTATAAACCATTCATAAACCCTTTATATGTGTAGCCTTATTGTAAAGTGGCACCCGTTTTCATAATTCCCAGAGTAATATAACCTTTAACTCTTGACCTCGGAGCTATGAGAGATCGCTCACTCCAAAATGAGACCAAAATGAGTCCGAAGCCGAGGAATTTCTCCCCGGCAGCGGGGTTTCTGCCGGCTCCCATCTGGCCGTCAAACCCTCCCCCTGCCTCCTTGTCTAATTAAAAGCTTCGCAGACTGACAAGCGGGGTCAGCGTGCTTGTGCGCACGGCCACCCATTATCCGATTTGTCTTTGCAGTGTTTCTCTGTCATCGCGATATTGGAATTATTGTAATGACGGTATAATAACAATACTGTACTCAGACCCTGGGAGAATTTCATTGCGAATGATGTGAAAAAGTAACGTCTGGTGAAAGAAGATAAAGCCAGTTCCTGGGGGTTTCTCAGAAGACTTCGAGATTCCTGTGGTTTCCCGCGGCGTTTTGCCGTTGCGCGTCTCTTCGGAACTCCCCGGTTTCCTTTAAAAGGTTTGTCTTTAAATAGCACCTGTGAGCAGCTCTGTACATTTCTATGGGAAAATGTACAGATGGTACTCCTCATATTTGGGCTCCTCTGTCTTGGTCAGGAGGCTGCTCTCTGTCGTCCAGGGTGAGAATACAATGCTTATCTGAGCTGGACCAGGTGTGCTTCCCCCCCAGAAGGAGACTGACTTTTTATTTGTGTGTGTGTGTGTGTGTGTGTGTGTGTGTGTGTGTGTATGTGTCTGAGATTGTGTTTCTGGAACTCTGTCAGAAATGCCCTATCAGACGTGGTCACATGGGCAGAATGTGAGAAGACCACTATCTGCTTTGTTCTGGTGCTGTCTGTCAGCTTAGTCTGGCACGTAAAGCTCACTGTGGAAAATCATACAGCAATGGAAAAGGCCTTTATTGGAAGAGTTTACATTTAATCAAGATGAAACGACGTAGTCTAAATGCAATTCCACCCTAAACCGGCCTTGTGAATTGTACCTCAGGTGTCTCGATTGCCCACGAGATAAGATCACCACTTCAGGGTGCATAGTCTGTGGGGTACGGTTCAGCACCATGGACAGAGGCAAATGTAACCACAAAGGCAGACCCCCTCCTTAAGAAGAGTGACCCCAAACTCAGTCCGCATCAAAAGGAAATTGGTGCAGAGTGGCATCCTCCTGCTGCTGCTTGGAGACGGTCTGGTGGTGCAAATCATCCCTCACTGGGTGCATTTGTCTGATTTCTTCATTTCCAATATGATAAGGCATGTAGCAAATGAACAGCGGTTTGCTTTTTGCTTAGAAGCCATCGAGACGATCCGATAGAGGTGAGCCCAGAGGATCAGGAGAGATGCAGAGATGCTTGTTTTGGGGCCGTTTGATATGATTTAATAATGACTTAATAGCCGCGCCTGATGTGTGATGCGCTGCCACGAACCGTGGAGGGTCTCTGAAAAATATCGACCGTGATCTCGCAAACGAAGGGTAAATAATTCAGTCTGACTGAAGAAGGTTGGGTGAGAGCTTGGTGTAATGGTTTATACATCTCCTTCCATGTGGAAAGACTAAAATGTCAACCCCTTCCCACAAATGAAGGTTCCTAGCTGAAATTCCGTAAGCCTTTCTCAGAGGAGGCCTCTGCTGGATTTCAATAATAATTAAACAAACTGCAGGTGTGCTGTGCAGCGTTTGTGTCATATATATGATGCCAGGTGGTACGGCTGCGAGGTCTGAAGACAGTCCTTCACGGCTTCATAGTCACAGGCTGGGGCATCCTGGTCTTTGATGAGTGCGGGGGAAGCGAGGAGGAAGAAGTCAGCTGGACTGTATCCTTTCTGTCTAAGCTCTCGTCAAGTTATGCCTGTCAGCTGCTGGGAGGCGCCGGTGTACTGTGCTGTGCGTCTCTCCCATTGGCTCCCCGTGTTCTCGCTTTTTTCCTCGAATTATGTGTGGAAGAGCCTCCCCTCTGGGAGATGTCAGCGCCTTTCTGTCGCCAGCTGCCTGACAGGCGTATGCTTATCGTCTTTATTCTGCGTTACCTCGCCGCGTCGCTGTTTCAGACAATTAGCATGCCTTTGAATTCGGTGGGCAGCTTCTTCATTATTTGTGTTTATGTCGGCGTTATGTAACCGTTATGAAATACAGCGTTGATTACTGAGCCAGCTATTAGGAGTTCTAGGTAAATTGTGCATGTTAGGTTCAGTTAAACGATACGGCTGAAACAACACTGAGCGAGTGTAAAGCCTCCCTCTAGCTATAAATAGGTATCATATAAAAGCTGCTTCTCCTACAGAGGAAGTGTAATTCCTGGTGGCCTTTTTTAATGCAGCACCTTCCGAATGTGGCGTTTAGCCTGCGGAACATCAGGCACACTGACTCTGGTGGGAGAATGCCATGAAATGGCCAGCTACCCTCAACCGAATCGCGTTCCTTTGGGATTCAACATTTCATCACAAATGAATGAGCTAGTCGACTCTTCTGGGAGAAGGGTCTTCTCTCATTGTTCCTTTGGGCCTCCTCCTTTATTGATCATCACAGCACTGTTGAGATGTTTTCATGAGCGAGACATTCGTTTTGCTGAAGGCTGTTTGGGGCATTTGTGAGGACACTGTTTCCACATCAAAGGTCAACAAGGCCCGTTTTGAGCCAACTGCACATCTTTACATGCATTCACGGAAAACAACACTCCCACTATGCGCTGAAATGAAAGCTGGCCGTCGTTTCCTTTATTACAATTATTCATGACTGAAACTGAGAAATATGACCGTCGAGGTAGGGCCACACCAAACCACGCCAAACATATACTGTGTGTAAAAATGTGTTACAAGTCAACCCCCTCTGGGATTCACACACTTGCTTCTCACCAAGAATTTCCTTAAATAGGTGGCATCCCTTGTGTCCTCTGCTGCCTGGAACAGGTTCCTCACTCCTTTGTAGTTCTGACCTGGATGGATGGATGAATGGAGCTGCAGCCATTACTCACCAATCCAACAATCACTAAACCAGGGATCCCCAATTCCAGTCCTGGCGGGCCAGAATCCAACATATTTGCAAATTTCCCTGCTCAAACACACCTACTAAACCTGGTAATTAGCTGGTGAAGATGTATTTGAGCAGGGAAATCCACAAACTGTGTTGGATTGTAGCCTTCCAGGACCGTAATTAGGGAACTCTACACTAAAGCCCAAGAAAGTAATGGATTGAAGCCTCCCCCCCCCCCACCTTGCAAAAATGTATATTGCAAATGCAATATGAAATTAACCCCACACAATATCTTCCCACTTGTAACAAATGTAAATATGGTAGGCAGCCTACAGTTCTGTGAGGTGAGCGCATACAGGCTGTTTGTGCAGGTGGTCTGCACTGGATAGGAGCTCCTGGGGACCCTGTCTCCTTCCATTAGCCTGGAGTACCAGGTGCTGCCCGTCCCATCTGCTCGCGGGGGCACTGGCAGGTAAACAAAGGAGATTCCCCGCTTCTCTCAAGTTAGCCTGCTTGTTGAGTTTGCTTAAGAAAAATGATTCTTCTTCCCATTCCGTGGAATATTGGACACGAGTATCAGAATCCAGCCAGGAATTATTGGAATAATCTTTGTAGCAGATGCACTGACATGATTTACTAAAATATTAAAGTCTGAATGATTTACAGCTATGTACACTTTTCAGAAGGCTTTCCTTCCAAAATTAGTTGAGTATGAATAAGATATTGATTCATTTCCTCACTTTTTCAGTTTGTCCTGTGTCAGTATCCTCTGTGGTTGGTTATATATCATGATAATATCAGAATCTTTATTACCACATGACCAAGGCTGGTTGAAATTTTCTATTACATGAAAGAAATTGTAGTATATTTTTGAAAAATCTTAATCGTGCATGTAAAGCAGCTGGAGATCGTGTTATATTCTTCCAACCTTAAGTGTGCAGTCTGCACAAAGTGTTCTGTCTTCCTCGTTTCTTCAAAGCCCGGATATATTGGCTGTCCATCTTGCTTATGAAGTGCCCCCCCCCATCCTGCAGCTGCCACCCTGTGACAGGCCGTCACTCTTGACAACACAAGCATAGATTTGTCTCCAGATGGGTTTGGGAAGATTTGTGTTCTGTGCTATTACCTTGAGTGATTCGTAGATCAGCTTTGCTTTTATCTATAATAAACTGAAATGTATATGTGTCAAAGAGTAGAAGTTATTAGACAGCTGAGACATGAGATTTTGTGTATTCTGACATGGACACAATATGAGCACAAAAAATACATAACGCATATGCGTTATCTCAGCGTTATGATGTTCTGAGTCTCAGTTATGTCATCATCGAGCAAACAGTTAACTATATATTGTGTGAATCTGTTTATTATATAATTCAAAGCTTTCTGGGTGTGTTTCATTATGAAGGAGTTATGCATTAAATGAGTGCTGTTGGCCTTTCTCCCCTTCCCCTCCCATCAGGATGATTGACAGCTCCACCATCCAATCCCAACCATGATAGCGACAGGCGGTCTGCTGCGCATCTCGTCTAGGCGCCAGGACTCGCTCCGCTCCAAAAACCGGGCGGAGAACAAGCGGAAGAGGAAAACCAGGAGACGGAGGAAGAACGACGTGGTGGTGGTGAAGGGCAAGCTGCAGCTGTGCTCCATATCCGGGCTGGTGGCTGCTGTGGGGGTGACGGTTATGTTGGTGGGGGTAGCCATGGCTGTGCTGGGCTACTGGCCGAGGGAGAGTCCAGCCTACCCCGTGGGAGGAACCCACCTTGAGCAGCCTCTGCCCGGACGAGCCAACTGGACGAGCGGCAGTAAGACGTCATACCAGGTAGATAGCACCAACGTCGGCCATGGGAACGGCACTGTGAGCCAGACTGAGCCTCCCTTGGGCTTCCTTGCTGAATTCCTGGACAGTTACCTGTATTCCGACAAGTTGAAGGTGTTTGGCCCCCTGACCATGGGAATTGGCATCTTCCTCTTCATCTGTGCCAATGCCGTCCTACATGAGAACAGAGACAGAAAGACTAAGATCATCAACCTTAGGGACATCTATTCCACTGTCATCGACATCCACAGTTTAAGGACCAAAGATTGCAGTCCTCTCAATGGCTTTGTCAACTATGTGCAGTCTAGGAGTATAGACGGTAAGTCAGGTCCCTCTTACAGTGCCGCTGTGCTTGCCAGGAGCTCGTGGCCCTCTACCGTGTCTGGCAAGCAGCAGGAGAAGGGGGAAAATGGCCAGTCGAGACAGCAGTCCTTCACGAGGCAGTGTGGCATGTCTCAGGAGAGGCAGACTTTCACCGATACGGTCTATAGCATATACCGGGACCAGAACAGGACCTCTGAAAGGGTCCCAGTGCCTAAACAATGGGAGACCAGGTCCATCGTCACCTCTTCCGTGAACGCTTTTACTCTTCCCGTCATCAAACTGAACAACTGCGTACTGGAAGAGAGTAGGCGGTTGGAGGAGACCAGTGCCGGGAGGGACTCCCAAGACTCAGAGGACCAGGCCAGCTGCAACCATGCTTCCCCTATAGCCTCCAGGGCCATGGAAACCAAAGGCGAGGCGCCAACGGACTCAGTGGACACAGTTGGCCCGCAGGGGCCATCATGGGCTTCCCAGCAGGGCTTGCAGAGCCAGCTCCTCCCTCCATTCCCTGGGCAAAGGCTGACAGGGTCACACCTATCCCTCAGCGCCCTCCCGGATTACCCCACTTCTGCCGAGCTAGGAGATTCCTCGAGAGCGGCAGGTGGCGGGCGCGGGGAGTGGACAAGGCGCCTCAGCTGTCCCCGCCTGGAGCGCTCCAACAGCAAGGGCTACATCAAACTCGGGGACTTGATGGGGGAGTCCTTCGAGACTCCCGACGCAGTCGACTCGGGTAGCGGGCTCACTCAGGGACGGGGCCACCCGTCTGTGGGTGACTCACAGGAGATTCGCCAGGCCGCCTCCCAGAGCGCAATGCCAGAGCAATACTCCAGCAAGGAAAAGCTCTTGGCGCTTGGCCAACCGCGGGCTGCTGCGGTTGACACAGGCCTCAAGGGCGACAGTATTTGAAGCGTCTTCTGACAACCTCTATTGCACAAAGTTTGGGGAAGGACAAGCGACGTTGTATGAATGATTCATGGCCACGTTAATTGACAGCATAAATGAGTAGTGTGTCTAATTCTTGATTAAATGTCTGTAATTATAAGTCTAAGTACAGCCCATTAATGTTTTATTAGGAATTTATATATGCAGTTTGCTAAGTTCTGACCCCCCTCTGGCAATTGCCAGTAGGGAAATGGCTGACAGGTAGAAGTCACAACCCAAAGACTCTCAGTGCAGGCGGGGCAGGCGACTCGGAGCAGAACAAAATCACAAACAATGTCGTACTGTTAAATTGTGATACCGTAATATGTCTTATTAGATTATACATTAGAAATGTAGTATATAATCGCTTATCAGTTCAGGGGTTTGATGCAATCAAGGTAATAGCAAGATAAGCCAGATGATACATCCATACTTTATTACACTTTGAGCGGATTTTATATTTCATTGTATTTCAGCACTTTGGTTGAGTCCATATAGAATCTGCTATGTCACAAATTATATTTTTTCAATGTGTCACAAGTGTTTATTTTTACTGACCGTGATGCTGATTTGAAATCAATGCCATCTGTTTTGTGTAATAAAGACAAGTTGTCTCTTAGTCTCACCTCAAATTCAACATATTTCTTTCATTATGTTATTATTAGGGTTTATCCCAGCTGCCAGGCCTACATATTATGATTTTGGTTAACCTAATGTTGTCTGCATCACCACTGGATTTTTTTTCCCAGTTGTTAAATTAATTTATTCTTTATTCTGTTCATTTGTGAAAAAAACATTTCCAGTCCGATATGCATTTCAAAATCCATTGGGGATAGAAATAATCAGCACACGTTGTTAAAAAAAAAAAAACCCATGGTATTTTTAGACCTTAATGGTCACTCTAATTGTTCAAATGACACATACTAACTCCATTTTGGGTCTCTTGGCTTTCTAAAAAAAACATTATTGGAGTTGAATTTATCTTCTGTCTTGTACCGCATATTAAGCTGACACAATGTTCAATTGTATTGAGTTTGTGATTATTTTGGGTGTCTGGTAAGAGAAATCCTACTCTGTAATAAAAAGTAAAGATTTTTTTAAAGCAGGGCTGAACACAAAGGCTTAAAGGAAATAACAGCGTTTTGTTCATTTCCTAGCAGAAGAGAGGCCAGCGATGAGTCACATGTCCTGGTGCTTCTGGTTAGCTTTAATCAGCGTGGGGACACCGGTAGATTACGGTTCACCAGGCCTCTCCTGCAAGGCTGCAGGGCAGTTTGACTGCAACACGAAAACCACCAGCAGATACCGCTCTGGGATGGCAGCCCAGCGGTCATCTCGAAGCTCAACCTTGTTTTCAAAAGTTAATTCCCAAAATTATTATTATTATTATTATTGCCTTCCTCCCCCGTTTTGCCGTCTGCTGTGAGGTGTCCTTTTTGAGGGGACAGTCTGCTGCCAATTTTGGCCATTCGTGGAGAATGCCAGGCGAGGCGGTGGCCCTTGTCTGCTTCTCATTCTGACGTCACGCGTTATTGATAATCTCTGCAAATCGACATTCGTACTGTAACTGGCCTCTACAGAAAAATGATCACAGCAACAAGAAACAGGATCGTAAAATAACCCTTAAATGAAATGTATTACAAAGAATAACGAATTTGAGTGTTCATTCGTAATGGAGCCGCATAATTATACATGCGTGCATATAGCCCATTTTAATATTTGTTCCCAGTATTGTAAATAATAACAGTAGTGCTGTCAAACGATTATTTTTTTTAATCAGATTAATCACAGGGTTGCTGTGGATTAATTTCGATTAATCACGATTAAATATAATTCATTTTTAATCTATATTAATCACATTTCATTTTGCATGAGCAAACAGACTCAAGAAAAATGGTAATATATATGCACTTAACATGTTTATTGAACATCTTCAATATGAGTCGGATGCAATCCATCTTCCACAGAAGTGCAATATACCATGGACCCATATCAAAAAGCAAGATTTTCTGGTTAGCCAGACAACTTGTCGGATTTAAGGTCCCTCGGTTTAAATGGTCTTTATCTTCGTTCACTTACAATTAGCCTGAACTACCGTAAATACGACAAATAATCCGACTAATCATGAAATCTGATTCTAGCCCAATTAATTGCCATTGTTAGCAATATCAGTTGATAACACATTACGCGCGGTGCTTTACGTATAAAACTAAGTAGCAACACGTCCACAGATAAGTTGTACGGCATAGTGTGTGCGACCGATTAAATGAGCCACAAATGAGAAGTAGTGCTTAAACAGTATAAAACTACAACTTTCCCTTCTGTTGATAAAAAGGCGCAGCCATCTTGGATTCTGAACTCGGGATTAGAGACCTGCGCGGACGGATTTTTCAGTCCCGCTCCTGCCCGCTCCCGCAAAAAATATATATTATTTTCTCCCGCTCCCGCCCGCAGTATTCAAGTTTTGTCCCGCTCCCGCCTGCAAAATCCCGCAGGTAAACATATAAGTAGTTTTATTTTTACCGCTTCTTCCCGCTACTCTGTTGTTTGTTTCACTTGCTTCCCTTTTGAGTATATATAAAAAAGAAACTGAAAAGAAACAAATATGTTTCGTTTTATTTGAGTTTAATTAAATGGAATGATGAACATGGACACGAACGAGGAGCTTTTCAGAACATGCCATCCCGTCCAAGCACCAGGCTGACTCCTTCTTGGGGTGTCCGGTTACGTCCCCCAGCACTCAGAGCGCGGCAATTGTAGTTTCGCCTGGAAATTGTTATTATTTTAATTTAGTCGTTCTTGTTGCTTTTGTGCAGTAGATAAATAATAGAGTATTTGTTTTTAACAAATTAATTTTAAGAATTCCATTTTGCGGGAATCCCGCGATTAATTCTATTCTCCCGCATGAGGACCGCACGTACATGAGGACCTTACCACCCGCATCCACCCATCAAATCTTGTCCCGCGCCGCACTCGGTGCGTCGGGTCCCACAGGTCCCGCGGTACTCGGGATCCTCTATGCTGCTCCGAGACATTTCTCGGATCTCTGAGAAACAGGATCGCGCATGTCGTCACTTCCGGCTTCAAAACTCGGAAGTCGGAATCCGACTCGGAAGTCGGAATACAAGCTTCCAGGGCAAATGGAACGCACCAAAACTGCCCGAAATAGGTTGACAAAGACATTTCAGGGATTTTGAGTCATTCTGCGCTGCACAAGGGTTAATTGCGTTAAACATTTTAATCAGATTAATCATGATGATGGATTAATCCGCGTTAACCCGTTAATTTTGACAGCCCTAAATAATAGTAAAGTTGAATATATTTTCCACGCAATTGTAATCCTTAAATGCCATTACAGAACACCCAGCAACTGAAAAGGGCAATGAAAAGATTTATGAACTTTGCTTAAAATGAGTTCCTTTAAGCAATAAATAATTATTAATTTTGGGGGGAATAATTATTATTAGTTCTCCCCACTTTTAAAGGAAATTAAAGTTGAAATACGTTAGTGGATTTTTTTCCCCTGAAGGACTAATTGCGAGTCGGGTGTGAAGCGAGGGCGCAGCGTGTGGATGTCCCCGCCGCCGCGGCTGAGTGCCACTCGGTGCGCCGCCCAGCGTGAAGCCTGCAGACGGACCGCAGCTCCATCTGCTCAGTGACGGCAACGCCGTGGCACCAGCGCTCGTGTCCAAATACAACACTTCAGATCAAAGTTCCGGCGTAACCACGCTCTTCGTGAAAGGACTCATGAGAGATTTAAGGCTTTTCACCATACTGTATATTTGAGCTTCATATTATGCTGCAGAGGGGTCAGTTTCTCTGTCGTTCGTGGTATTAAATATCTTTTTACATGTAAATAAAAATGAACCAAAGATACGCGCAGGCTGACCTGTATGCCTCCATTTCCACCGTGGGATACAAATCTCTATGTATGAATATGAAAAGCTCATTCCTGTATCGGAAAATGCATGTACTAGCAAATGAGGACAAGGTTCACGCTGCAATATTGGCGCAGTTCTTTTTTTGCTAATGTGTGACCGGTAAACAGCCAGCGAGATGCTCACAAGGCGGTAATATCCATTACCATGGAAACACAGAGCTTCATAAATAACCCGCCTTACGTCATATTGTACCTCACCTAAAACAAAAGCAGGTTTTTGTTTTCAGTTGTATTGCTATGGTCATCAAATCCTGGCAGGTTGCTGTAGCATGTAACCTTGTGTATTTATCAAAGTATGACTGGATAAATAGATTATGAATCTATGTTCTGGCACAAGGATAACCAACTGTTTTCCCTCCAGTCTGAAATGTCTGTTGTGTGTTTTCTGTAAAAATTCTGCAATGCAGTTACAGCCGTCAGCTTGCTGTTGTTTCAGTTCCTTGTCCTGGACGGTCAAATGGCTTCTTGGCCTGCAAACGCTCCTTGGCTTTTATATGAAGTGTGGAGAAAGGACGGCCAGACAGACCCTTCCCAGTTCAGACCAGTGGTGCCTTCAGAAATTTCATTTGGGGTGGCCGACGTAATATAAGGTTATGTTTATGGGGGCGGCCGCACCATGCTGTGTCTCTTCTCTGGTTCTGCTTAAGAAAGAAAATAATCCATATTTTGGTTTTATTATTTTGATGTGGGGTGGCAGGGAGGTAGGGGCGTAGTTAGAGATAAATGGATAGGAGAGCAGAGTCTTTACTGAGGGGAGGCTGATGGCAAACTATTCATGACTTAAGCCAATAAATACACATTCATTTGGGGGGGGGGGGGGCTAAAAAATATTTTAGGGGGGCTAAAGCTGCCTAACGACACCCCCGCAGGGAGGTATTTACTAGGGTACTCCTTAGATCCTCCCCTGGTTCAAGGTGAAACCCACAATCAGGAAAGACTCTGATTTTATTATTATTATTGTTGTTATTATTATTATTATTATTATTTCTTAATGGTGCAAGCAGTGTTGAAATCCTGTGTGTATTTTTTGGTCTGGATGAAAGGCTGTTTCTGCAGTCAATGCTCGAGGTGTTCCTCGCATCAAAGCACAGACTTCTGACAGAGGGATAGCCGTCGATTATCATCAGTGCTAGGCTCTGTACCTTAAGCCTTTCGTATCGCTCCATGCATCACTTGGTATTTGGCTCCCTGTCTTGTATAAAATCAGGTTACATGTGAGGCAACGTACAAACAGTGTCTGACAGTCCCTAGAGCAATTGGGGGGGGGGGGGGTGGACAGTGGAATTGCTTTGCCAGTTCAGGGATTTGAACTGGCAACTTTCCAGTCAAGTACAGCACTAGCATCCAAACCTGCTGCATCACACTCTGCTACCATTAGTATTCAAATGTCATTGCCTTTGAATGCATGATACCATAGATCATTATATAGATTATCATGGGTCATGTGCACTGTTTGTCCAGTGCCCGGAATCCACACACTAACCATTATTACAAAGCACTTTTCCAACAGCTGTCATGCGACTTCTCTATTTGTCTGCTGTTTCTGGGTCTTGCCTGTGGTCCACTTTTCAGCGCTCAGCACTGGATTCCCAGTCACCACTGTCGTTCTTAATGTCTCAGCCGGAATAAAGCCTTTAAGCAGAGGAACGTGGAGACTTTGGGTATCTAAATATTTTGAGCTTTGATTTGTATCAGGCTGGATCTGTACTTTTATACATTATAGGAATGGTCAGCTGGTGAGTAGATCTACGTGACACCAAACTGGGTAGGTGGAACTTCAATTCATTCTCTAGGGGTAA